TGGCCAACATGGTGAAACCCCGTCTCTACTAAAAATACAAAAATTAGCCGGGCATGGTGGTGGCTGCCTGTAATCTTAGCTACTCAGGAGGCTGAGGCAGGAGAATTATTTGAACCTGGGAGGCGGAGGTTGCAGTGAGCTAAGATGGCACCATCGCACTCCAGCCTGGGGCACAAGAGCGAGACTTCGTCTCAAAAAAAAAAAAAAAAATTAGCTGGGTATGGTGGCGCATGCCTGTAGTCCCAGCTACTCGGGAGGCTGATGCAGGAGAATCACTTGAACCCAGGAGGCGGAGGTTGCAGTGAGCCGAGATCGTGCCACTGCACTCCAGCCTGGTGACAGAGCAGGACTCCGTCTCAAAAAAAAGAACCAAACTAAGTCTCTGAAGACCATAGGGACAGGGTCTCTTTAGATAGCAAGTCTCGCCGTTCCCCTTTTTAGAGAAAAGGTATTGTAGCCCATCCTCCACCCCACTCTTTTTCTTAAAATTCGCAAAACTTCAAATTGGCTATTCCTCTTTCAAATGAACCACTGAAGTACAGCATTCATTTAAGAATCTTACAGAGGCAGTCAACAGACTTATACACTAAGGGTATTTTTGGTTTTTAGCCTGTTCAGAAACAGAGGCCAGCACTGATGACATTTTAGATACACTCTAAATTGAGAAATGTGTCTCGTGGAACATGTTGTTTATTTAAGCCAGTAGATTCCTTATCTAGAAAGCAGGTGAGCTGGCCCTTAGAGAAGGCTGTCCCAGGGGCCTGCAGAGGTACTGTTACTGAGGCGACAGCCTCACGGGGTCTGGTACCAGGGGTTGTGCCCTTAGCGGTGACAGCAGCTTAGGTGTCAGGCAGTTGCTGAGGGGCTGGTCCATGTCGTTATAGCGTAACACACTGGACCGAGTAAAAGTCGGATTTCATTTTCTACCCTGGATGTACTTGAAGAAAAAGAATTATTTTTGCATATGAAAGAGGCCAGAACCCACAGGAAAAACTTCAAAACTTGACGTTTGCCAGAATGTTGAAAATTTGTTCAGAAAAGGTTAAAGCAACAAGACAGGTTTAGCCTTTGTGCATGAAGGCGCCTGGCCTGCTAGCCGCATTGCCCATCCCTGCGTGGTGCTGTCCCATGTCACTTGAACTGATAGAGGGGCCTGATAGAGGGGCCTGTGCAATCTCCTAAGGCCTGTGTTTCTGCCACATATTTTATTATAAATTACAATCCACCCATCCACCTGCCCTCCACCAGGAGTGGGCACCCCATAAGGGTTTAGGCCACTTTGCAGAGGATGGAGGTCAAAAACCATTCCCAGATAAGTTTGGTTTTCAACATTTAGTAACTTGTCTCAGGGCACAGAGGGCAGGCAGGAGACTGGGGGAGGCCAAGGGGCAGCAGATAGGAGAGCACTGAGCCTGGATAGTTCTCTGCCTGGCGAGTGACTCTGAAGCTGCCTTCAGACAAGGCTAGTCTAGGGGCAAGAGTGCGAGCTGGCAGTAAGAACGTGGCCACCTGTCCAGCTTCACACCTCCCCTGACTTAAGCCCTTCCTAAACCCAGACCTACGGTCCATGTAGGCACTGGGCTGTGCCCACTCAAGCTCACTGCCCACGTAGAGCATGCCTTTGGGTGCCATCTCTTGGCCCAAGCCTCAGTATGTGGGACATGCCACTGCCCTGGTGGGCATGGCACTGAGATGCATCAACTCAGCAGGAGTGACAGAGGCAGAAGTTCCTTTAAAGCACATCTTCCACTTAGGAAAGGAAGGAAATTTTTGTACTGTCTTGTAAGCCTCCACATCCAGCTATGGCCCTGCAAGCTGCCTTATGCCTGCGCTAGTCTCCCTCACGGGTTCAGGCTGGCCCAGCACATCCCGACCTCCTGAGCTCACGTGCGGCCATCTAGAGCACAGGGGTCACTGCACGCTGCAGGGCTCTTGCTGCCCTGTCTCAAGCCTGGAGAGGCTCCGCCCACAAGCTGGCACATGAAGTTAGCAACACCTGTGGCGTCAGTCAATTGTCTGAGACTCTGAAGAGGCTGAGACACCTTCCCGACTGGAAGAAGTTGTTCACTGAAAACTTAAACTGACCCTTCCCTTCGAGTCTTCATTCCTCTCCCATGTGGGAACCCAGCCTTGGATGCCCTGGGGACTAGGGGAAACAGTTGGGGGTTTGTGCCGTCCCCAGCCTGCTATGGGTGTGAGGACAGCCAGGTCCTGAGTGACTCAAGATGCTTCACTTACATTGAAGAATCTTCTAAAACTCTTCCGAGTGGTTTTTGTACACACTCAAGTTCTATTTAGAGCTGTTCTGCGTGTTGGGTGAGTTCGCTGCTCCCTCGTTTTGGGCACTTTGGTTTTTGTCTTTACTGACGGCATCGATTGAACATTTTTTACTAGTAGTCTTATGAATTTTCTTATGACTTATTTTGTATTTTTTTTTTTGTAACTTATACCAACAAAACTTTTATCACTTTTTTGTTGTTGTTGTTGGGCTTCTGCAAAATGCAAGCTCATTTTTAAACCAAATGAATAGACCATGAGCTGGCAACAGGGGAAGTGCTATTCACAAGACCATGTCCACCACCCTCTAAAATTCCTGAACAATATCATCTGGGACTTCTATTTATTTAAAACAAATCTTCCTTGAGAGCCTTGGGAGGTGATGTCAGGGTTATAAATGGCACAGTGCATTTGCTGTAGGAATGTGGTTTGGCATTGTTTTATACACACACAGTATTTTTATACCTTAATGCTTATTCTTGATGGCATCTGTCAGATATTAGAATCAGAAATAAGAATCTTCCCAAAATCCTTTTATTTACCTGATGCCCTCATCAGGTTATTAAAAATTCAAGTGGTTTTAATAGCTAAAAACCTGCAAATTAAGCTCTAAAACAAACTACAGAAATGTAAACCTTCACTTGCCAAAGGTCCTTGGTGGCCTGTCCCCTGCCCCAGGGGCAGATGGCCCTGAAGCCCTTCCCTCACTGTGCAGGCCACTGGGTGAGGCTGGACGGTCACCCACGGCGGCTTCACTGCAAGGAGCAGGACTGCCAAGCTCAAGCACGGGGCCTTCAACTTCCCCTGTCCTCTGGCCACGCTGCCAGCCCTTGGTCCTTATCTGTGTGAGGTTTACAAATAAAGCTTCTGATGTCAGATGTTTAAGTTGTGCGCTCAGTGGACGAGGCCATGTCCTGATGCAGAAGGCTGAGCCCAGGCTCTCTGTGGCACCCCTGAGAGCAGAGGGCAGTCTTAGGTTCTTCCAGCTCTGGAGCCAAGGGCGGCCTGATCCCACTTCTCTGCCCCCACCATTGGGGGGATTTGAATGTAGCCAGAGAATACAGTCAGGGCCAGCCAGGGTGGCCACAGGGTCCTCTCCAAACCTGCTTCTCCCTCCCTGGTCAGGCCTCCACCCCCCACCACCCACACCTGTACCCTGGATGCTGGCTCAGAGACCTACGGGTGTGTAGACACCTGTGCAGTCACTGCGTCCTACTGCGCAGGCCCAGCTTGGTGTCTGAGCCTCTTACAAGTGAGTTACTGCCAGGGCTAGACCAGACCTCGCTGAGGACAGTGCCTGGCGGGAGGCATTGAGGGCGTCAAAAAGTCACTCCAGGGGCCTGGTCAACAGTCACAGACGGGTGACAGGCTGCAGAGGGATGGGCTGGAGAAGAGGCGGAGCCAGCCGTGGTGCAGTTCTTGTTCTTAGCATGATGAAGGGCCAGAGGCTGGTGTGCAGCAGGGTGATAAGGGGCAGACGTGTCTCTAGCGGTCATCAGGCAGCCTGTGGCAGTAGACAGGGTGAGGCAGGGATGCAGATGAGGCGCCACCCAGCATCCAGGGAGACAAAGGGCTCGGGCCTGCGGCTTCAGCATCAGTGATGAGAAAAGGAAGGACAGAGGTACAGCCTGGAACGTACTGACAGGTTCAAGATTTGGGGCAACAAAAATGAGACAACCAAGAATAAGGCCTAAGAAGTTAGGGCTTACTGTGAAGAACTAGAAGTGGGGGGCCTGAGGGCAACAGGGAGCCCGAGAGGCGAAGGAGGGAAGGAGGGTCCATGACATGAGAACACTGACCACTGGCCTGGGCTGAAAACAGAAGAAAAAGCAAGCCAGGGGCACATTTAACAGAAAAATGGGGTCGAGGGAGGGTCTTGACGTTAGGAGATGCTGATGCAGCCGGCCAAAGGCCATCAGTCAGTGACAGGAGGAGCAGAGTCGGAGCCCAATGGCCGGGCCTGAAAGCAGCAAGGCCACCTTCTCAGCAGAAGGGTGGGGAGAGGGACTGCTTGTTCTCCTCACAGCCAGAGACACTGGCCTCAACCAGGTGTGGGTCCCCTCAAGATTCTGATAGGGGCAGAGAGAAGCCACGCAGGCTTGAGATGAAGCCCGTGGCCAGAGCAGGCAAGTGGGGCCCCGAGAGCCCAGGCAGGGTACGGCAGGAAAGTCAATGCTGCAGTCCAGCACCGGCCATCAGAAGCCCCTGAAGCCCACCTGCAGAGGCTCAGGCTCAGTAGGTCTGGGGTCTGAAAACTTGTCCCAGGTGATGGCGTTGGTCAAGGGACCACACTGGTTGTATAAATAGGCTGTCCCTGAGAAGGTAACAGAAGAAGGCGTAAGAAAATCAGACTTATACAGCTGGGTGTGGTGGTGAACGCCTGTAGTCCCAGCTACTTGGGAGACTAAGGCAGGAGGATTGCTTGAGCCCAGGAGGCTGAGGCTGCAGTAAGCCATGATCACACCACTGCACTGGAGCCTGGGCAACAGAGCAAGACCCTGTCTTAAAAAGGAAACCAGAATGTGGAGACACAGTCCTTCCTCACTAACCTGGCCTACTGGAGACCTGGGGCGCCAGCCTGGGTAAGGCAGACCTTATGCTCTGAGGTCCCAGCAGTGGGCTCTGGCTGGGCCAGGTCCTAGAAACAGGGCCAAGGCCCTTGGCAACAGGTTAAGGGGTGGGGAGGCTGTGGGTTCCCAGGGGCCAGGAAAAGGGATGCAGGCAGCAGGTAAGCCATTTATTGGATGGCAGCAGAGGGCAGGCTAGGAAGACTGGAAATGGAGATGTGGACACAGGCCCCCAGCCCTGCAACCCCACCAAGATCCACAGTGGCCAACCTGCTGCTACCAGGAGCTGAAGTCCCCAAAACCCCGACTGGGCTTCTTCTTGGACATGGGGACAGTGGCGCTGGTTGAGGGCTCTTCCTCTGCCGCTCGCTTCCTGGGAAGAGAAGAAGCCGCTGGGAGTCCACGCCCTCCCTCGGCCCCTCCTGACTTGTCTGTATCTCCATACGGCCCTCCCGGTATAGGACCAACCCCTCCCACCTGCTGCTCCCACGTCCCCCTGAATTCGATGGCTTCCACCCACAGAGGCCCCGGCCAGGCCTTCAGGTAGTCCCTCGGCTGCAGAGGCCACACAGCACAAGCCCATGCCCAGGACCAGTGCCCGTGGCTTTCTTGCCCCTCTGGATCTGACCCTCAGACCTCAGTCAGCCCTAGGAAACACCATGGGAAACAGAGAGGCCAACCGCGCGGCACTCACGTGGCTGCTGGGTTGATGTACTTGCCCACGCCCTGGCGGAAAGTCTGGGGGCCCTGGCTCCCTGCCTCGGGCTGGCTGCTCTTCACTTTGGTCTCCGGGGCTGCCTCGAGCTGTGTCTTCCGCTCCTGGGCGATCTGTGGCACAAGAGGGTGGAGGCTGACCAGCAGCACCTCGGGCAGGACAGATGCTAGGCTTGGGGTGGGAAGGTGCGCTGGCCCAGACCCTCCTGGTGGTGGCATCATGCCCCCTCACCTGGGCATCAGCCTCCTCATAGGGGTCCACGAACACTGTAGTGGCATCGATGCGGATCTCCTCCTAGCAGCAGAGGGGGCTCAGTGCACAGCAGGTCCTCCCCCTGCCTGCCTGGCCCCCAGCCGCCACGCCCCACCTCCCTGGGCACAGACCTTAGGGCGGTCAGTTTTGGGGTCACTCTCCACATTCTCCATGGCTGTCAGTACGTCAAAGCCCCCAACAACCCTGCAGCAGGGAGACAGAGGCGGGGCTGCATGTGCTCAAGGAGGGCACCCTCAGGGCCGGGCCCCAAGGCATGTGGGAAGAGGGTTGAGAGCCCCGAGGCTGGCCTGGTGGTCCTCGGGCAGCAGCCAGGAAGGCGATGAGAGGGCATGGCAAGGGCGGGGTCAGCAGACCATGGCCCTGGGCATATCCAGCTGGGTTTTTTTCTGGTTCTCTTTTGGTTCCCCACCCACAGAAAAAATAGGAGTCACAAATGTGGCTTGTGCTGTCCCCACTGGTTTGGTAACAGAGTTCCACTTGGCCAGAACCACATCACCAGCATCCACCTTGTTTTGTGCTGCTTCCAAACAGTTGGGTAGGCGTCAAGAGACCACGCGGCGCACAATGCTGGAAAGACCCCTGGACTAGAGGGTGAAGGCAGCTGGGCGTGGCCAGGCTTGTGAGTGGCGCGCCATCAGGTCTGAGACAGGGCAGCGGCCAGGCCATGCAGGGGTGTTTCCTCCTCTCCTGAGCCCGGTGGGTCTGGAGAGCCAGACTTCCCTGGCACAGGGAGCACCCTCCGTCCCAGCTCTGCATAGCCTCAACCCCTAGCAGTGACAGCCAGCACGGCACATGGCTCAGGTCCACAGAGAAGGCAGCGAGGAGGCCTCAGATGGGGAAGGACCCCACCTAGCCCACTGACCCCCAGGCTTCACACAGCCGCTTCCCTTACCGTCCAAAGATGGTGTGCTTCTTGTCCAGGTAGGCACAGGAGCGAAACGTGATGAAGCTGGGGAGGAGGGTTGGATGGTTAGGGAGAGCATGGCACCTTCTGCATCTGGCCTGCCTGAGAGCACATCAGGAGCTGCCCACCCTCTACAGTCGGCTCTGGGAACCTGCAGCTTCCGCGGACACGTGGGTGCATGGGGCTCCCTGCTGCTGCCCACCAGGGCAGGTCATCAGCCCCCCAAGGCTGCCCAGGGAACCCCGGACCTCCAGCTGTCCCCAGGTCCTCCTGCTGCCCCAGCTGCTGCCCAGTGCCTGTCAGGGAGTCCCTCTGCCCAGAGCCAGCCTGGCCATGCAGGTCTGTGGGAGGTGGCTGGGACAAGGTGACACCTGGAAAACCAGAGCCAGGCCCGTGCCATCAAGGGACCTGTCGAAGGACTGAGGAGAAAGGAGGCAACAAAGCCAGAGCAGAAATCAAGGGATTAAGAAACGTGGGTAACATAAACATGGACAAAGAAAATGCTCAGGTTGTCCAGACACAGTGGCTCACGCCTGTAATCCCAGCACTTTGGCAGGCCGAGGCAGGAAGACCGCTTGAGTCCAGGAGTTGAAGAACAGCTGGGGCAATAGCGTGAACCCTGGAGGCAGAGCTTGCAGTGAGCTGAGATCGCACCACTGCACTCCAGCCTGGGTGACAGAGCGAGTCGCCGTCTTAAAAAAAAAAAATTTCCAGGAGGAGCTTGCCTCGGGATGGTTCTTTTACTTTCCTCGTATCTGAGTTTAATTCTGCTTCTAGTTTCCTTCACTGTGTTAGAAATCAGCCAGAGAGAACCGCTTGCAGGTCAGAGCTCAGGTCTGCCCCATTGTAGACGTGACATCTGCGGACACTTGTCTGGTGGCCTTGGGAGTGGTCAGACTCGGTGGGCTCAGGAGCATGTCCCTGCGTGGCTGGGGGGGTGCATGTTCGATGCAGCGGGGGTTAGGTCCTGTGTCTCTCACCAGCAGGGTGTGTGGGCTGTGCCTGCCTGCACCACCCTGGGGTGCTCCGTGCCACCAGTGCTGGGACCCACCCAGTATCTTCCACTGTTTTCCTTTCAGCCTCTCTGGCTCTGCCCTCTGAGGGCTTTTTGAAGGCTCACAGCTGGGGTCTGTCGCGTTCTCATTTATCCCAAAAGTCTTTTTTTTTTTTTCCCTTTGAGACGGAGTCTCGCTGTCACCCAGGTTGCAGTGCAGTGGCGCGATCTTGGCTCACTGCAACGTCTGCCTCCCGGGTTCAAGCGATTCTCGTGCCTCAGCCACCCAAGTAGCTGGAATTACAGGTGCCCACCACCACGCCTGGCTAATTTTTATATTTTTAGTAGAGACATGGTTTCACCATGTTGGCCAGGCTGGTCTTAAACTCCTGGCCTCAGGTGATCTGCCCGCCTCGGCCTCCCAAAGTGCTGGGATCGATCCTGACAGTTTTTTCTTTTTTTGAGATGGAGTCTCGCTCTGTCGCCCAGGC